AATAGTGTAACATTTCTTGCAACAATAAAGACAAGTCAAATTATGAGATGATTTGTGTTTTCTATTAGAATCCTTTTTATTCCAACTATCTTTTTTATGGAATTTGTTCATACTCCTTTTAATCATAGAATGATCAATAGCAAATGCAACCTTTGATTGTGATGCCTTGTCCAATTTAGCCTTAATATTGCTAGCCTCTTTTTTCAAATTTTGACAAGTTTCATAATCGAACCTAGATGGTTCATCATCCTCCTTCTTGACTTTTAGACTATCTATAGTAAAAATGCTTTAGATCTTCCATTTGCTTTTTGGTATTTAAAACCTTAGCTTCCAAAGTAGTAAAAATCTTTTGATGTGAAGCTAACTTTTTAAAAGTGTCTAAGGCTTCTATTTGTAGATTGTCAAAAGCAAGTTGTAATTTGGAATAACACAATTTATCAACATTTTCATATTTATCACGACTTACATTATTTTTCTTCCTTTGACGACGATGGACGGAGAGACATAGATTTGCCTCTACTTCATTATCACTTGATCTCTTACAACTCGAGGAATCATTATCGCTCTCTCAAGCTATATAAGCTCTTCTAGATTTTCTATACTTCGCATGTTCGTCCTTTTCTTTGTCTTTGTTAAGAGATGGACATTTCGGTCTATAATGGCCCTATTTTCCAGATTGTAGACTTCATATGTTTGTCCTTGTTTTTCTCTTTCTTTATATTCTTCTCATGTTTCTTCTCATATTTTTCTAAGCAAGTGAATTCTTCTCATGTTCTTCAAGCTTATCAAACAATATGGTGAGGCCAAGTGTTGTGAGATTGTTGGCTTTCTTGATTGCAGTGCCTTTGATTGTCAATCCCTAGTAAGACACCTCAAAACTTTATTAGTAGTAATTTCATTAGACACAAGTTTTCCAAGTGTATTCAAACGGTTAATGAGATAATCGAACCTCTTTTGCATTTCGTCAATGGTTTCACCATACTTCATGTGAAATAGTTCAGACTCTTGATTTTGCATTTCGTCCCACATAGCTCTAGCAGTTTCACAATGGGAAACACGATAAAATTCATCAACACTAAGAGACAATATGAGAATGTTTTGTGCTTTCCAATTGTAACCCCACTTTTCTTTATCATCATTATTCCATTGTGCTTCTGGTTTGAGTGTGGTGACACCATCTACGGTTACAATAATTTCCGTTGGAGCATTGATAATAACCCCACACACTCTTACTATATGAATTGATATGAATATGCATACAAGCTTTTCAATAAATATAGTTTTCATCAGTGAATACAGGCGCTCTATTATACACTCCTTTAGGTTCGTTTGTCATTTTCTAATAAGCGTTTTTGAAGCACACGAAATCAATCGGGCTCTTGATGTCACTTGTTAGACGACGAAAACTTATCTAGAGGGGCGAATAGATTCCCAGTGAAAAATTTGCTTAAAAAATTGTTTTAAAAATTTAAGCAAAAACTATGGCAAACGGAAGTCGTATCCTAAATCACAAGTCGTCCAAACCGAACTGGTTATAGGAGGCTCGAATATGCGTACAATATCAACTACTCAATTAAATGATGATAATAAGGTCTTAATACAATAAACTTCTCAAGTAATTGTTTTACAATTATAAGGTTAATCAATATCCAATGAAACAAATTATAAGGCTAAGTAAAAAAATTAATCGAAAACTCAGTGTGCAGTTTGCAAACTAAGTGATACAATTTATCAAACACTTGGTGTACACATAATTTTTCAAATTTCCTTTGAGCTTTGTTGATATCAAACACTTCTCACAGTCGAATAGATTGTAAGATAATCAACAAATAATTTAACAATCAAAGAATTTGTGAATACGAATTAATTGCACACACAATAAATTTAACAAATATGCTAAGAATTTTATAATAATCTAAATCAGATCTATTTAATTAAATAAACTTTTAAAAAAAATCTAAACCTAACTGTTTAAATAAGTCCGATCTAATTTGACTCTAAATCGATCAAGCTTATTCCCATCCATATTTCTATTGAATGAGTTATAAATAAAATTAATTCATATTCTCTCCTATTTAATAACTATACATATCTAAAATATTTTTTAAGTAATTTAATTTTTTGTATTTTCAAGAAATTAATTTAATAGTTATAAAGAATAATTTCAGCAATTGATTTAATTTTTTAGTTGATATGCACACACATTAAATATCAAATACAATCAACTATTCCCTCCGTTTTAAAATATATGTCGCATTTGTTAAAAAAATAATCTTAAAATAAGTATTGTTTTTTAATTTGTAATGATTTTTAGTTTTTATCTTTCAATTATATTGTCTAATTAATATTTTTAATTTATTATTTTTCTCACCTTATATGAATAATAATTTGAATACACCAATAATCAATTATTATAGTTTAATAAAATTATTATTCTCTCCCTTTTATTTATCACATTTTTGTAAAAGTATTAAATATGACAAATATGTTGGGACAGGAGGAATACCATTTTTAATGATTTATGTGCAATTTAATCATTTTTGTTTATAAGTTATTTTAGGTATTTTAGGTTCTTAGTTGATTATTATGAAAACTAAACTATTTCAATAAATTAACTAAAATAAAGTCGTTTGGAAAAACAAAATTAAGAACGTGTTTTATCTGTCAAATTTCAAACACACTAGAAAAAAAACCAAAGATGTGCCAAAAACTTTGATATTATAAAGCAAGTTAGAATAAACTATTCATGGCGTTGACCACATAGATATTCATTGGTTGTTTTCTTTTTTTTTATTCATTATATATATATATATATATATATATATATATATATATATATATATATATATATATATATATATATATATATATATATATATATATATATATATATATATATATATATATATATATATATATATATATATATATATATATATATATATATATATATATATATATATATATATATATATATATATATATATATATATATATATATATATATATATATATATATATATATATATATATATATATATATATATATATATATATATATATATATATATATATATATATATATATATATATATATATATATATATATATATATATATATATATATATATATATATATATATATATATATATATATATATATATATATATATATATATATATATATATATATATATATATATATATATATATATATATATATATATATATATATATATATATATATATATATATATATATATATATATATATATATATACACTCTGATGCCTTAACTATAAGAAAGACAAAATAAAATAAAATAATTTTCTAATAAATGGACATTTCATTATCACAAGCTTTGAAAATTCCGTTATTGAGCTTCAATAAGTAACATAAATTATAAGCACATTGTGATGAATCCGAATCTTGAAAAAGCATATTATGATAGAGAGAAAAAACATTACTAGTTTATAAATATTGTAAAGTAATTTTGAATTTTAATTTTTTTTATAAAATGATTTATACTTTAACATGCAAGAAATGTTAATTACTGTGTATTTGAAAAAGAAATACACCTAAAAATTTATCTTTGAAAATTTTCATCTTAGCCTTTGACACCAAAATAAATCCATAAGTAGGTAGTTATGCAGACACATTCAACATCAAAAACGTAAATTCGAAATTACAACGTCAGTGAAATTCTAATATATCATTCATTTAGTTCATTTATAGTCGATGTTAGACCAAACAATCACAACTGATTTCCAATCATTTGATTATTAGTTGCATGTGTTTGTATTTAGTACTAGAAAAGTGTTTGATCTAGCAACGTTAATGATCCCAAAGACAAGGATGAGGTAAACTTGTCACTATCAGACGGATTGTTCCAAGGTAATATACCATAGATAATCCTAAGTTGGTATATGTTGAACAGGCAGTAAAACTCTAGTAGTTATCGAGGACTAGGTAAACAATATTTTCATCTTGTCACTACTCTTATAAAAAAAATTCACTTTTATAATCTCAATTAGACCCTTCATTTATATTATATACATATATATAGCACCAATGAGCTCAGCAGATTCATTCATTTTTCCTTACATGCCATTTGGCATCCTCTGAGAATAACCAAATTAATCTGTTTCATCATCACTAAGGTAACTACTATAAAACAACTTAATTACTCTTCTCTTTGTAACCCTTTTTTCATGCTTACAATCACTTTTGCTAGCTTTCATTTCCATACTAACATGTTTCATATTTGGTATGAGAATCTTTCTGGTATTTTCTCACAACATAAACATGTGTGTACTCTATGTCATGAATTATTTTCTGACAATGATCTTGAAATCACAGCAAGTGTTGCATGCAATGCTCATAGCTGATTAAGTCCTCATCAAGATTGTAATACACTCTACACTTTTCATTTCAAAAGGTATATATATTATATGTCTTTCTACTATAAAAGTAGTGAATCATGTCTTTTCTATATTTAGCAACTTTTTCCTTAAGGAAAGAAAAACAATCTTGTTTAGAAGATCATGTTAAATTCCCTAAATAACCAAACTTGCTTAGCATTTTCTCTCCGAAGAGCTGTTTGGATTGACTTATTCGAGTTTATCTACTGACATAAATATTTACAAAGTTGTTTTGGAGAGCTTATGAAAACATCTAATAACATGTCTATAAGTTGTTTTCAGCTTATTCTCACAGTTCTCCATGTTAGTTTAAGAAAATGGCTTATAACTTATATGAAAACAACTTGAATTTATTTTAATTTTGATATAGGAATAGCTTATACACAAGCACTTATATGATAAGCAATTGTGATTTAAATGCCGAATTAAGTTGATTATCCATACGTGGTCTATAAATTTAGCAACTTCCCTTATTTCAATTCTAGTTAAATTCCCTAAAGTTGAATGTAGTCAATGTAATAGTAATCATTTCCTCAGCTGATTTCAAAAGCTTTTGCATGCAGGTTTTGAATTTCAAAGATGGATCCTGAAAAATCAATAGAGGAACAATTCTCTAAGCTACATCCTTCATTGCCGGTAAACACCAGAATCGGAATAGTAGGTGCCGGTCCAAGTGGCATATCAGCTGCCTATGCATTGGCAAGGCTTGGTTACAATAATATCACTGTCTTGGAGAAACACCATGCAGTTGGTGGCATGTGTGAATCAGTAGAAATTGAAGGTACACTAGCTAGTAAAGACTATTTCTATATTTTATGGACTAAATTGATGGCTTATTAAAACAAATTACGAAAAAACGGTAACAAACGAGTTCTTAATATGTTTATGCAGGAAAAGTTTATGACCTGGGTGGGCAAGTTCTGGCCGCAAGCAGTGCTCCTGTAATCTTTCACTTGGCAAAAGAGACGGGTTCTGCACTCGAAGAATTGGACTCCCACAAGCTTGCTGTTATCGACACTTCCTCGGGAAAATACCAAGATATTAAAGTTGCTGATGATTATGTATCTGTTATTTCACTCACATTGAAAATCCAAGTTAGTATTCTGGTTCTGTTGTTAATATTCAGTTCGTCTTACAGATACACATTGAGTTGAGAATTGAAAGTTGAATACTGCTAATTCTTCTTGTGATATTCACAGGAAAAGGTGGAGAATTCCGGTCGCTTTGGGATCCATGCTGTCAGTGAAGTTGCGGCAGACTTAACTCCGGAATATCTTGAGCGTCATGGACTCAAATCAGTTCCTAAATCTGTTGCATTTAGTTATACTGCTTCCGGATATGGATTCATACAAGACATGCCTTATGCCTACATTCATGAATTTACCAGAACATCCATGGCTGGAAAGATTCGACGATTTAAAGGTGGATATACCAGTCTTTGGCAGAAGATTGCTGAATCACTTCCTATAAAACTTCACTGTAACACTGAAGTTTTGGCAATAAGGCGTAACTCTGACAGTGTCACTATTAATGTTAAAAGCTCAACTGAAGTTGAAACTCTGGAGTTTGATAAGATTGTAGTCTCGGGTAACTTTCCATTAAAATATGGAAGAACTTACAGATCAGAACCTTCAACTTGCATAGGTATGTAAATTTTTAACTTCTCCGTATGACCATATTTACATATTGTGTTTGTATATTGCTTCAGCCAGAAAGATACCTAATGAATTAAAGTCATGGCAGATTGTGAAGCTGAGGTGATGGATGCTAGTGACATTGAAAAGGAGTTATTCAGCAAAGTAGAGACAAATGACTACTACACCACTGTTTTTAAGATCAAAGGGCTAGATCATATGCCAGTTGGATTTTATTATTTTAATGAGTATATGGAAGATCCGAGTACGATCGGAAATCCAGTTGCCATGCAGAAGTTTTACGCCGACTCTGATATATTCTTGTTCTGGTCTTACGGAAACTCCTTTGATATTAAAGGGCCAACTATCACTGAGCTAGCAATCAAGGCAATAGAAGCAGTGGGAGGAGAAGTTGAGAGCTTCATACTTCAGCGCCGCTTTAAGTATTTTCCTCATGTTAGCAGCCAAGGTATGTATTTCAGTGGTTTTTATATTCCATATTCACCCTTTTCAAGTAATAGGAAATCTAAAATTTTCATGTTTGAGTGCAGATATGAAAAACGGGTTCTATGAAAAGTTGGAATCAGAGCTCCAAGGTTCAAGGAATACATATTATGTCGGTGGACTTATGGCATTTGAGCTCACAGAGAGAAATTCTTCATATGCCATGGCTCTTATGTGCAAGAACTTTGCAAATAGCAGTGATTTGCCAGTGTTTCCTTACACTAAGGTAATTTGGCATTTATATATTATTTCCCGATATTGATTCGAAATAATCTGAAATTTTAAGTACCTTTGTGCAGTAATGTTTTCCATATATACACGCACTTACAAAAAGCATGTCTTATGCAGAGTTTGTTTCCTTTGCAAACCAAGTTTCAGAGAAAGGAACCTAAAGAACTAGCTGAATTGCCCGGTGTAGAATTTCCCAACTTGCCTACTTTGAATAGCTATTTAAAGCACTGGGGAACTCATGGAGTCACTCAAGACAGAACCCTTTATAGTTGGATAAATGAAGAAGGGATAGTGATAGGTAAGAGGACATATAGGGAGCAACATTTAAGAACTTCTTGCATTGCAAGTAAGCTCTTAAAAAGCCAAAAGCCCGTTATCAAACCTGGTGACAAGGTTCTTCTAGTCTATGTTCCCGGCCTAGATTTCATTGATGCATTCTTTGGATGCCTAAGAGCTAAAGTTATACCAGTTCCGGTTCTTCCCCCAGATCCCATGCAAAGAGGTGGACAAGCACTTTTAAAAATTGAGAACATTGCCAAATCATGTGGCATAGGGGCAATTTTATCAACAGTAGCTTATCACTCAGCAGTCCGTGCAGGTTTAGTGAAAAATTTCATCACATTGAAAAATGGGAAATCCTCAGGTCGGTGGCCAAGTCTTCCGTGGCTGTACACTGATACTTGGGTCTATAACTCAAGAAGTTCTTCTATGGAGGATCAATATAATGATCAGCGTGAATCTCAGCCTGGTGATATATGTTTCTTGCAGTTTACTTCAGGCTCAACCGGTGATGCTAAAGGAGTCATGATCACTCATGGAGGACTGATTCACAACGTTAAGCTGATGCAAAGTAGGTACAAGAGCACCTCGAGGACAGTACTAGTGAGTTGGCTTCCTCAGTATCATGACATGGGGCTGATTGGAGGACTTTTTACAGCTCTTGTCAGCGGTGGAACTGCGCTTCTGTTTTCACCAATGACATTCATCAAGAAACCACTCTTATGGATAGAAACCATGAGCAAGTATCAAGCAACTCACAGTGCTGGACCTAACTTTGCTTTTGAGTTAGTCATCCGAAGATTAGAGTCTACTGACAAGGATAAACTTCAGAATCTAGACCTTTCATCCATGATTTTTCTTATGGTTGCTGCTGAACCAGTGAGACAGAAGACATTGAAAAGATTTCTTGAGCTAACCGGTCCCTATGGCTTGTCTCAGAAAGCGATGGCTCCTGGATATGGCTTAGCAGAGAATTGTGTGTTTGTCAGTTGTGCATTTGGAGAAGGAAGTCCTATTCTTGTTGACTGGCAAGGACGAGTTTGTTGCGGATATATTCATCAGGGGAATGCAGACATTGACATCAGAATTGTTGATCCAGATGGCAGTGAAGAGCTTCAGGAAGAGGGAAAGGAAGGTGAAATCTGGATCAGTAGTCCAAGTGCAGGAATAGGATACTGGGGGAAGGAAGAATTGAGTCAGAAAACTTTTCAAAATCAGCTTCCGAACCATCCTGGACGTGTCTACACAAGAACTGGAGACTTGGGGAGGATAATAGATGGAAAATTATTCATCACTGGAAGAATCAAGGATCTTATCATTGTTGCTGGAAGAAATATCTATTCCTCGGATGTTGAAAAGACAGTCGAAAATTCGTCTGAATTTCTTCGTCCGGGATGCTGTGCTGTCATTGGTGTCCCTGAAGAAACTTTATCGGCAAAAGGGATTTCCTTGCCGGATGGTTCTGATCAGGTTGGCTTGGTTGTGATTGCAGAACTAAGGGATGGTAAACCAGTTAGCAAAGATGTGGTTGAAGATATTCAGGCACGCGTGGCCGAAGAACATGGAGTGAATGTTGCTTCTGTCAAGTTGATCAAGCCTAGAACCATCAGCAAAACAACATCAGGAAAAATTAAAAGATTTGAATGTCTCAAACAGTTTGCAGATGGAACACTGAATTTGGTACCACAACCCGTTCTGACAAAGAAAACACTGGTAAGGTCATTCACTACAGGAACATGTCAAGAAGGAAGGACACCCCGTGCGCGGCTAGCGAAAAGTGCATCTCTAAGTAGTCCAAGAATCAGTACCAAGGAAATTCTGGAGTTCTTGAAAAAGCTTATTTCTGAGCAAGCTGGAATCTCGGTAAGCAAAATATCTGTCACAGACAACATGTCAACCTATGGAATTGATTCCATTGGTGTGGTGAAAGCAACTCAAAAACTCTCTGATTTCCTCGGAGTTCCAGTTGCAGCTATAGACGTTTTCAGTGCATCCTGCATTCAAGAATTGGCCAACTTCTCAGAGAATCTTCTGTTGAAGTCTCAACCTCACCATACGAGCAATCCATCCTTTGCTCCAGAAGATGAAACCGAATCTACTGAATTTGTCGTGGATGTGTCCAAGTCGCATCAATGGAGTATATATGGACTTCAATCTTTAGCACTTGTTTTCATGTCTATCCTTTTGGTTTCTCCTGCTTATCTATCCATCACTACTTTTCAAAGTCTCATCGCAAGTGTTGATAAGTCAGCGTACGGAATTCCTTGGTCAAACTATCTAATTTCCCTTGCTTTGGCTCCACTTTCTTGGATCCTTTGCATTGCTTCTACATGCATTTGCATTTCATTTTTCGGAAACTCTTTCTTGAGGCCAAATTATGCTCTTACTCCTGAAATATCCATATACTCAATGGCCTTTGTCAAGTGGTGGGCACTTTATAAAAGCCAGGAAATTTCATCCAAAGTTCTGGCCACACACCTCAAAGGAACTGTGTTTCTGAAGTACTGGTTTGAGATACTTGGCGCAAGAATTGGATCCTCAGTTTTGCTTGACACAGTCGACATCACAGACCCGTCGCTGGTTTCAATTGGAGATGAAGCTGTCATTTCTGAAGGGGTTCTGGTTCAAAGCCATGAGGTTAAGAATGGAATTCTAAGTCTCCATCCTATTAGGATCGGCCGGAATTCTTCCATTGGACCTTATGCTGTTATTCAAAAAGGAAGTGTTGTTAAAGAAGGAGCTGAGATACAACCACTACAAAAGGTTGAAGGGGGGCAACATGTGCTCAAGCCTACAAAGTTTAATAATGTTAAAGAGGTTAGTTCTGAGTACCAAAACATTTTTATATCCGAATAAAATACCATGCAAAATGTTCAAATTTAATAATTATCATGAATCATGATATAATAATTTCATTTTTTTTTTTGGTTTCAGAATGCAGTGTTGCTTGTTACTACCAATAAAACTGAGTCTGAAACTATATACCACTTTCTGGGGATTTACCTTGTTGGCTTCCTTAGTTCCCTTGCTGCAGCTATTACTTACTTCATGTATACATGGTTCTTCCAAAAACCCGTTTCATTCCAAAGTTTTTCATTTGTGTGCGTATGTGGAGCCTTCCATTGGATACCATTCACTATTACTGCCTATGCTACAATGTTTTCTAATGTACCATCAAATGCCATTACCTTTGCCATTTCATTTGCATGTGCATACTTGCTTCATGGTCTCATACTAACCTCTCTCACCTGTTCTTTGACTCGTTTACTGAAAAGTCAAAATCAAACTCACTTCAAAACTTGGCTCCAAAACCAACTGACCCTTTCCTGCCACCTCAGATTTGCAAAGCTTCTCTCAGGAACAGAACTCTTCTGCATATACTTACGCCTTCTAGGTGCAAAAATTGGCAAGCATTGTTCCATTAGAGCCATTAATCCAGTTTCAAACTCTGAGTTAATGTCAATTGGTGATGGTGTTCATCTTGGTGACTTTAGCCGCATAATCACTGGTTTCAATTATTCCAATGGATATGCTTGTGGAAAAATAGAGGTTCAAGATAATTCAGTTGTAGGTAGTCAAAGCATAATTCTCCCTGGTTCTCTTGTTGAAAAGAATGTCATTCTAGGTGCACTTTCTGTTGCTCCAATGAACTCTATACTCCATGAAGGTAGTGTTTACATCGGATCTCAAACCCGAGTTACAACGAGGAACTCAGGAAGTGCAAATTTTGATGAAAGAATTGAGGAGATGGACATGGACTACAAGAAAATAGTTGCGAATTTGGCTGCAAATCTAGCTGCAACAACTATGAATGCTAAAGCGAGATATTTCCATCGCATCGGTGTTGGTGGAAAAGGGCAATTGAAAATATACGACAAACTTGAAGGTGTTCCAATGCACAAGATTTTTCACCCTGGCAAAAGCTACCCTATCTTAGTAAGACATAGTAATAGCTTGAGTGCTGATGATGATGCAAGAATCGATGCACGTGGTGCTGCATTGAGGATACTTTCTGATGAAGAACCTGCTACAGGCTCTTCTGATTCTCCTCCTCCTACTCTCATTGACTTAACACTGAAAACAGGAAATGCATTTTATGCTCGAACACTTTCTGATTTTGCCAGCTGGCTTGTGTGTGGACTTGCTGCAAGGGAAGAACTAGTAAAGGGTGCTCCACATGTCCGTGAAGCAGTGTGGAGTTCCCTTAGACACGCCGATTCATATGCCGAATTGCATTACTTTTCAAACTATTGCAGGCTCATGCGGTTCGAAGACGGACAACAAATGTATGTGAAATTCAAGTTAAGGCCATATGACACAAGCATCAATGAAGACAGAGGTAAAGTTATTCCAACAGGGATTCTTCCACCCGAGACAGGTGCGATTCCTAGAGACGAAAATGATTCACGTCCTTTGCTTTTCCTTGCTAACGATTTTCAAAACCGTGTTAGTTCCTCAAATGGAGTTTGTTATGTTTTCCAAATTCAACTAAGACCAGTTCCAGACAACGAACAAGCCCGCGAGATTGCATTGGATTGTTCTAAACCATGGGACGAAAACCAATTCCCTTTCATTGATGTTGGAGAGATAAACATCAATGAGAATCTCTCAATGGAAGAATCACAAAAGCTTGAGTTCAATCCATATCTTAAAAGCAATGAATTGGATGTGATTTCAGCTACTTCCAACACACAAAGTGCTTCAATCGATCACGGCCGTTCATTAATCTACGAGATTTGTCAGCATGTCCGCAACAGACAACCACTCCAAGAAGCTTGGAGAAACCTCGTACAACAATCCAATGTCAAGGTTGACCTGTCCTGCTGTCCAATAGCATCATCACCACCACCATTGCCTGAAAAAGAACCATTACTGAAAAACAAAACTCCACAAAAATTAACATTAAGAAGAACATGGTACCAAACATTCTCAGCACTCTTCATTCAGCCATTTCTACAAACAGCTTTACCTCACATGGTAATTGGTCTATCCATTTACCTTCCTCTGAACATGGTTGTTTATTTTAAGGATGCCAAGAAACTTCCACTCCATTGGCTACTTCCATTCTTCTGGATTCTCTCAGGTCTCATATCTGCATTATCATGTGTTATAGCAAAAAGGGTTCTTGTAGGAAAAAGGAAAAGTGGTGAAACAATCCCAATATGGAGCAAAAGAATCATAATGGACACAACATGGCAAGCTATTAGAACATTGGTTGGTGATTACTTCATGGATATGACAAATGGGTCATTTATATTTGTGATTTGGATGAAAATGATGGGTGCAGAGATTGACATGGATGGTGGTACTTATGTGGATAGCAATGGAGCAATGTTGAATCCTGAAATGGTGAAGATTGAGAGAGGGGGTTGTGTGGGAAGGGAGGCATTGTTGTTTGGACATATATATGAAGGTGAAGAAGGTGGAATGGTGAAATATGGAGAGATTAAGATTGGGGAAGATGGGTTTGTGGGGAGTAGAAGTGTGGTTATGCCTGGTGTGGAAGTTGAGAGTGATGGAAGTCTTGCTGCTTTGTGTCTTGCTATGAAAGGAGAAATTGTTAGGTCAAGATAGATCTTATAATGTTTAATTTATCTAATGTTTTCTCCTATCTTAAATATAAATAAATAAAAGTTTTATGTATTTCATTTCAATTTGAATAAATAGCTGTTCATTTTGATATCAGGTGTGTGTTATATCAGTTTAATTAGTTTCATGTTTATAATCATGTTTTCATAGTATCGAATCTAATATCTACGTTTTTTTTTAAGGATTTTTTATCTTATCCTATATGGAAAAATTAAACTCTATGCAATTCTTATGGCGTTTCTCTAAAATTGAAAATTTAGTGCACAATTATTTTTAAAAAATTGACTTAAAATCAAAAGTATATTTTTGATTTCATATCGAAAGTATGTTTTCGATTCTATAGCTAACACAGAACAGAAAAATCAGCTATATATATATATATATATATATATATATATATATATATATATATATATATATATATAGAGAGAGAGAGAGAGAGAGAGAGTTGTACACAGTACCAAAATGTAATCGAAGTACAAATATTATACAATACAATACCGAAAAACTAAAACCAAAATACAAATGCATCAATATAAACTACTGCGTATGACGGATGATGAGTCGGCCTGTCACCCTCGAGGCGTCGCTCTGCTGCCTCCTGCAACACGGAGCCTCCGCCATGATGGCATCCAAAATACCTCTAACATCGGATCCATCAGAAAATAGCCCTCTGTCAATACCATCTCGCGCAAGCTCTATGATACGACGGCACCTAGTCAACACGTCATGCGCATGATCCCTCCTAGCCTGCTCCACCTCTAGGATCTCTTGATAAATTGGCCTCAGTGGGTTCCCTGGAGCATCCTCTACTATGTACGGATGTGACACCTTGAAGAACTATATCATGTAATTGTACTCGTAACTTCAGTCGTCTGGTGCCACGGTACTCCTGGCCTCATCATGAACAAGATGATTCTCAAAATCATTAAACAAAGCATCCATATCCCTCTGTTTCACAGTCAGAGGAGCACATACAGCAAGATCCTGGGGAATGGTCTAGGTAAACCCGAACTGACGTATCACCCGCTCAGGCATATAAGCAGCGGTCTTGCGGACGCAAGCCAACTAACCTGTAAACAATGCAACCTCGTTAAATGATATCATGAGGTGGTCGACGTATGAACTGAAGTGAATGTCCTCATGCACTAGTCGATCAATGTAAACCCGGAACGGCTCTATCGCTTGGTTCCCTTGGAGCGGGTCGTAAGCGCAGGCACGCTGCTTATCTTCAGTATAACTTGTATCATATGACCAACCCAAGATGTGGAGGAAGTGTTGTAGGATTCACCCCTGAAATAACAAAATTAAATAGTATAGTTCTAGAATCAAAATAATTAACAAAGGCCACAAAGACAAAGAATTTATACTGTCATGAGTGACATTGTGATCGGTGGATCTGGAACTGACTGTTTTAAAGCTGGTTTCGCGAAATGTCGCGGTAAGCAAGAGTCGCCACCGTCTTTTATTTTCTCCAACATGGAAAGGACAAAAGCACAGAAAAATTCCTTATTGAGATTAGTTCTCGGTTCGGGAGGTAGATTATAGAAAGGGAAGGTGTTAGCACCCTTTCTATCCATGGTTATCCATGGGCTCTCAGATACTTGCTCATTGTGTTTTCAAAAGGTTTGCTTTTTAATTGTGAGTGGGTTTTGAAAAAGTTTCGTTTGAAAAATTTCTAAGTAACTCTTGTATCTGTCCTCAAGAGTGTATGAAAAATTTGTTTGAAAACTTTTAGAAAGTGTAGGTGTGAAAAGTATTTTGTTTGTTTTTGAAAAGAGCAAGTATCTATGAGAATCTACCTACCCTAAGGAATTCGTCTGTATAAATGTCCTTTAAAGTAGTGCCATCCCACCATTGAGAGGTAGGTAGCACCACCGTTGGAGGTGTTCGGGTCAATTCGAGGTTCGGGACGTGGTGATCACCGGAGCAATAGGAAGACACCTTAGAAGCTACCCTCATGCCAGGTTCCCGGATCATGAGGACTTACTAAGACATCCTCTACTCGACGATCACCTTTCGAGGGGCAAGGCAACAGTGAAGCGTACCCTAGGGGTGGTGTGTGAATTGTGTGTCATTTTCAGTTTATTGCTTGTCTTGTCATGCATTGGTGATCTACGCTTTGATTTTATTTTTGGGCATTCATTCTTTCATGTTATTGTTTAACAGTTAAAAGTGCGGGAATTTTAAAGTGCGGAAAAGGTAAAAGTCCTACGCTATTACAAAGGCGCGGGTCTACAGCGCCAAATTAATCCAGACCCGATTTAAAATAAATTGCAGAAAGTAAATGCCTAATTAACTATTACAGGGCTTTGGAACAAATACATTATATTCACAAAAGAAATAAATAAAACGCGCGAACAAAAACATAATCGAATGCGAGGGCGTTGAACCCTTTGAAGGAATTTAAAATAATTAAGTTAAAATAATTAAATTAAATAAAAAAGGAAGAACTTATTTTTTATGTTTTTGTATTTATGACATTAAAGAAAATTAAATTAATTAAAAGTCAAATAATTAATTCTAATTCTAATGGTTTTTAATTTATTAAAGAAAATGCGTTAAAGTTAAAACCTAGAATAAAAACTAATTAATTATAAAATTTATTTACAAAAATTAATGATTAATGATAAAAATATTTAATTAAACAAAAGATAAAAAGGATTAAAGATCTATTTATTATTTTTTGGTTTATTGTGGAAAAAAAGAATTAAATTATAACCTAGGATTAAATCTAAATTAATTACATACAAATTTATTTATGAAAATACTTAAAATAAAATATTTTATTATTTTTTCTCTTTTTTCTGATTTTTATGGGTTTTATGATTTTATGAAAATATAATTAATTAAACAAACAGTAATTAAAAGAAAAATAAAAAATTATAACAAGAATAAAAAAAATAGAGAAAATTAAAAGAAGTTGCAAACCAAGGGGGTATCAGTCCCCAATATGGAGGTCTTTTGTTAGCAATTCAGGCCCATTGGACTTTGGCCTTGTTGGACTTTTTCACTAGCATGTAGCACGTTGACTGCAGCCTACCATGCTCCCTAATTCCTGGCCCTTGGATGGATGAGGTTGGACGCGTGGATATTGATTCTTGAGGATGCATGGGAGTCTTCAACATAGGCGCTACACATGAACATTAATTGAGAAAAAATAAATGGAAAGGAAGAAGACCTGGGATCGAACCCAGGTCATTAAGATTACCAATCAACACGTGCACCACTGAACCAAATTGTTTACTTTGTATATTATACGCATGAGAATTACTATAAAGCAAAACAATCGCTAGTGGCCTGATCAGAAAAAAACGCGCGCCAAGATTCAAAGCCTCTAGTCATGGTTGGCCACGTACCCTTCTTCTTCATTGTGCTATATTTTCCTAAAAATACAAAGACAATAGACAACGGTTTTTGAACCGTTCTGTAATGTACCATTAGAAAAAATAACGAATAGGCCATAAGGCCACATAAATTAAGCGCGATGGTTGGTTTCCATTCGTCCAAACGTGTTGAATCCAATGGTCTTGGTGTCAGCCTCTAATTTTACCTTATTTCAAAAGCCCTAATTCTAAGGTTGAAGAACCCTAAATATCAACAATGGCATCTTTGCATATAACACATAAAAACGCAATTAGTTCACATGGTAATCACCAGAATGTATCATTGAATAAGAATATATAAATTAAATGTCATGGAAATGCCTTAAAGTTAAGATACGAGTATGCAATTTTATGAGAAAAATTTGGATTCTGTACAGCGATTCTTGAGGTTTGGATAACTGTTTTTGATTGGGAATCATCCAATGATGCTTGAGGAAGCTAATGAGATGAGAATCGTGCTTTGAATCAACCTGTAAAGATGATTTCAGTTTTGAGATTTTTGTGAAAAAGTGAGTTTTTGTTTCAAGGTTCCTGCGTAGCTTAGCTCTCCCTTTTGCTTCTGATCACTTGTATATACCTTAGGCAACGTGTATGAATGAGAATCATGGCCAATAATGTCTTGCATTGATGTTTTGGATTTTCACATAAACCACCATTATCACACTTTCCATTTTTGAGTCCATTTTTGAATTCTTGCCTTGTTTACTCCTTTGCACGAATTTGGTAGGCACATAATGATGTTTCAAGGCTAGTAAAAACCAAATATTCCCTTTTAAATTAATTTTTGAATTTCTTTTGATTTTAAAAGATTTAAAATTAATTAAATCCAATAAAATCAATAAAAATGAAAAAATTAATAAAAAAATCTGAAATAAAAGGTGGGACACGTGGGAAGCATGGCCAAGTTAATTCAAGTGGAAAAAGTGGGCCCCTTTTGTCAAAAATGAGATTTCAAGGATAAATGATTTTGGCCATTTCACAAAATTTCCCAACTTCTCCAATGCATAATTTGCTCAATTTTTAAGCTTTTCTCATGTTCTTGGACATTTTGGAAAGGTCTTGAAGTCCTTTAACCAATGTCTTTGGTCCCATGTCATTTTGATTTACCAATCTCAAGTTATGGCCTTTGACTTAAAGTCCCTTTTTGTTGACTTTTGAAAATGACCTATAATGTTGAAATTGATAACTTTTTGTGAGAGAATTTCTTGGACTTGAAGTATGAAGATGAGTTGTAGGAAATGTCTTTCTCTTCAAAATGAGCTTTGGATGGAATTTTTCTGATGAACCATGTGAAAGTTATGCCCTGGTCAATTTCAATTGACTTTTTCAGCTGTCCAAAAATAGAAACTTTTGCATCTTGATGATTTCTGAGCCAAATTTTGAGAATCATGATCAAGCATTGATCAAATGATGTTTGTGGCTTCAAAATGATATGTTGACCAAAAATTTGAACTTTTGACTGTCAAATGACCATTTTGCCCCTACAGTTGACTGTAGTGCAATTAGGGTTTTTGACTGTGCAATTTTGTACTGAATGCCTTGAAACTTGATATGAGGATACTTGACCATATTTGTAGGCATGTGAGACTTGATTGGACC